TATATAAAGTAGTAAGTAGGGAGTAGTCAATATTTCTTCTTCCTCTCTTTTTTGTTCTTTTACCTCTCTAAAAAGTTATCTTCAAGGGAGTGACTCAATGATTAAGAGTTTAAAATTTTATATTGAAGATCTCAGGTTTAAATATCTTAAATTCAAATTTAAAATTGTTCATTTTAGTTAACTTCAAATTTTACAAGATCTTGACCGTCTTCTATATATAGATTAACTTGGCTTTAAATAAATAAAATTAATATTATTAAAGACAATATTTTATAATTTTAACAACCATAGTATACGTATATACTATTAATGGTGTTCATAACCGTTCCCTTGTTTTCCTTTCGTTTTTCAAATATAGCTGTTAGGTAGAGATTCTAATATCCCCAAAGTCAAATGATACAAGAATTTTGTTTATTTCTACCTCGCAAGCTACAGAAACAAAGCGGCCACCTCATCCCCATGGATGAATAGCATTATCAAAAGTAAATATGTCAGTGAGTGGTTGGTTTAATAAGTTTTCTTCTTACCAACCTTTTTTAATTTTTTTATGTAGAAAATCTTCTTCCCTACCTTGTGTATTAAGATCTTAGTAATTCTTAGATATGACTACATTTTTTTTTTTTATGTATTTTCATACAAAATCACTTTTTTTAAATAATTTTAAAAACTCAATTGAGGAGCACACTTCCATGTGACTCAAGTGATCACATTTTTGTATGTGAAAAGTAAGATAGAGCATAACATATGACTATCAAGTTGACCCCTCAATTAGTACTTAAATAAATATTAATTTACTAATTATGTTTCCTACAGAAAAAAAAAAGAAGAAGAAGAGAGAACTCAATTGAGGAATAACAACTCACTATCTACTGGTGGTTTTATTGTTTCAAGTTCAAATACCAGTTGACCTAAGAAAATAAGTAAATTATTACACATCATTAGGCAAATAAAAAATTATCACAAAAGAATTTGTAGATACAAAAAAATTATTACAAATGAATTTGGGATTTTTCTGTGTGCCACAAAGGTGCAGGCCCTGCCTTGACAAGGAAAAGATTTCATGACCATTGGATTTATTTCATCTTGTTTCTGTCCAGTTTTTGGCCCAATCAATAAGTTCAGCAGTATGTTCTTGGATGCTTCCAATTTTCCTTTGAAAGACATGTATTTTGGTCTATTCAACTGATAGTTTACAATTTGACTTGGAAATTTTCTTTTCTTTCCTTCAGTGTTGACCAGGTACTGATTCTTTACAATGTTCAAACTTAACTGGAATTCTAAGTGGATCTTCCCAATATTTAACAACTGTTTATATATTTGTACAGAGGAGGAAAGCTGAATATGCTTTGCCAGAAAATGGGAAATTCAAGATACCGTTTACTTCATCTTATTTGTTTCCTTATATTTCAGCTCGTATTCCTAGCTCCAAATGGAGCAAGAGCAATAGAAGAAATGAAAAACTTGGTTCATGTGGGCTTGGTTCTGGATTTTAACTCATCAATTGGTGTCATGTCAGATACTTGCATTTCCATGGCAATCTCTGATTTCTACGCCACTCATTCGAGATACAAAACAAGACTATCTCTACACACCAGGAATTCCAAAGATGTTGTTGGTGCAGCTTTTGCAGGTAAACTTATTGTACATCAAAAGTTAGTGTGCTTAGCCATTGTAGAACTGTGAAGTTACTTGATACTAACCCGGCTAAACTCCCTTAGTAAAAGAACACGAAAGCTATCTGTTAGTAAAGATGGCAGAGTGAAGTTGCAATATTCTTTTCTCTTGGTTTCTGCCTTTTTTATTTTTCTATGCCATATAGACTTTTTTGTTTATATTTCTTTTTGGTACTTGGCTCTCATAGCTATTGCAGAGGCTTGAACACCTGAATTCGACCCCAATATTAAGGTTTTTGTTTTCATTTTTACCGCAGCTATGGATTTGATCAACAATGAAGAAGTAAATGCAATTGTAGGGCTCCAAACATCAATGCAAGCTAATTTTGTGATAAGTCTAGGAGAAAAGGCTCAGGTTCCCATTATTTCTTTCTCAGCTACAAGCCCCTCTCTTTCTACAACAGAAAACAAATTTTTCATCCGGACAGCACAAGATGATGGCTCTCAGGTGAAACCTATTGCATCACTTGTTCAAGCCTATGGATGGCAAGAAGCAGTCTTTGTATATGAAGACACAGAGTATGGAAATGGCTTGGTTCCCTATCTAGCTGATGAATTTCAGCAATTCAACATTCGGGTGACTTCTAAGTGTTCAATCTCTCTGGATTCCAGTGATTTTGAAATTTTGAAGAAGTTGAATCATTTAATGGTGAGGGAAACAAGGGTGTTTGTGGTGCACATGACTGCTTCTTTAGGGTCTAGACTCTTTTTACTAGCAAAAGAAGCTGGCATGATTAGTGAAGGATATGCATGGATCATTACTGGCGGGATCTCTAGTATGTTGGATTCAATGGAAGAGAATATCATTGATTCCATGGAAGGTGTATTGGGTATAAGGCCATATGTACCATCATCAAGAAGGCTTAACAATTTCAAGCTGAGATGGAAAAGTAAAGCCTCTCAACGCAAAAATGAAGTCAAACTAAACCTTCTTGGTTTATGGGCATATGATACTGTTTGGGCATTAGCTATGGCTGCTGAAGGGAATGGACTCGGAGAGGTGAGTTCTAATGCCTTGAAACAAAACTCATCCAGAAATGCAGCTCATCTTTCAGGTTTAAGGGTGTCTGATACAGGTCTGAGCCTCCGAGACATGTTATTAGATATCAAATTCAAAGGCCTCAGTGGAGATTTCAGTTTGGTTAATGGACAGTTGAAGTCTACAACCTTTGAAATTATAAATATTGTAAGGAAGCAAGCCAGAGTAATTGGGTATTGGACTCCTGAGAAAGGACTCTCTCGCAGCCAAAAATCCAGTAAAGTAGCATACACAAATTCCATGGATGAATTGATATCTCCAGTCTGGCCAGGAGGCGCAAGATCTATACCAAAGGGTTGGGTTATGCCAGTAAGTGGGAAGAAAATGAGGATTGGATTTCCCATAAGAGCAGGGTTAACAGAATATTTGAGAATGGAAGTTGATCCCTACACCAAGAAGCGTTTCATTTCAGGGTTCACCCATGATATCTTCTTGGCTGTATTGGATGAACTGCCATTTGCAATTCCACATCGACTGATTCCCTTCAGCATCGGTTCTCAAAATAGTTTCAAAACTTACGATGATCTCCTTAATCAAATCAAACTTCGAGTGGGTATAATTTTCTTTCTTTTCTTTTTTACTATAATGTTTGTTTCATTCCCTCACTTATTTCTACATGTACAAATGCAGAGATTTGATGCTGTTGTGGGGGACATAACGATAACTGCAAATAGATCACAGTACGTGGACTTCACATTGCCATACTATGAATCAACTGTGGCAATGGTGGTGAAAATAAAAGATGATCGAGGGAACAACATGTGGATCTTCTTAAAGCCATTGAGTTGGGATCTATGGTTAACAACAGCGCTGGCCTTCATCTTCACAGGCTTAGTGGTATGGGTTCTTGAACATCGTATAAACGATGAGTTCAGAGGTCCACCTGATCAGCAAGTCGGAACCATTTGCTGGTTCTCCTTCTCCATTCTTGTCTTTGCTCATAGTAATTCTCTTCTCTCTCCACATCCATTAATAATATTTTTAGAAATTAATACTACTAGTGAAAAACCCATGTCAGTCTAAACTTTTAGATGAAACAATTATACAGATAGATTGTT